CCGCGCCGCGCCGGGGGCGCAGTAAGGGGCTGGGGAGCCGGGGGGCTGCCCCCCTCCCCGGCCTTCACTCCTGCCCTCGTTTTGTTTCCCAGCTGCGGGTTTTCGTCCCTCCCCACGCGCTGAAGCTGCCGGAGGAGCCCATCACCAGGTGGGGCGAGTACTGGTGCGACGTGACGGTGAGCGAGCGGCCCCTCGGTGCCCCCTCCCCGCCGCCCTCCCGGCTCCGCGGCCTCGCTTCCCTTCTCCGCACCCCTCCACCCCCGCGGGGGTCCCACGCCGGGGGTCTAGCCCACACCAGAGACACCCAGAGCCGAGCCGGCGGTGCCCAGTCTCTGGCCCAGGCTGGCGTGTGAGGAGCGGAAATACTTTACTTAAAAAAAAAAAAAAAAAAGCAATGAAAAACCCCATCCCCGCGACCTAGATAGATGAGGGCGTCTCCTCGCCCGCCGCCATTCATCTTTTGTCCTTCCCAGCCCCTCCAGGGAGCGGAGCCGGCTCCAAAACCGCCTCCCGCCGCTCCGAATCCGTGTCACCGCCACCAGCCGCCTCGGCGGAGGCTCCCGCTTCATTCACTGCGCTGCATTCCCGCGGCAAGCGGGGAAGAGAAGGGGCGAGGGCACTCCGCCACCCTCCCTCTTCCCAGCTTTCCCCTGCTCCTTCCCCGAGCTCAGATCCCACCGGGATTTAGGGATGGAGCTACCGTGGGCGCGGGACGGGGGAGAGAAGCGAGAGCAGCCGCGAGCAGGAGCCCGGCGGCCGCTCCCTGGGGGACGCGGGGGGACACGGGGGGGTTCCCCGGCCGTGACCCCCCTCCCGTGCCGCAGGTGAACGGGCTGGAGACCGTCCGGGTGCCCATGGCGGTGGTGAAGTTCCTGCGGCCCAAGACCAAGCGCTACAAGCACTGGCTGGCGCAGCAGCAGGCGCAGCTGGCGGCGCAGCGGGAGGCTCTGCTCTGAGCTGGGGGGGCCCCGGCGCGGGCCCGGCGCCGGTTTGGTACCGGTAGGCGCTGGGGGAATGGGGGGGGGGGTCCCCGGCAGGGCCTTGGGGGGGGGCCCCCCCCCGGGCGGGGGCGGCGTGGCTGGCCCAGCCAGTGATGCTGTGTTGGCACCGGTGTACCCGGTAATCAGCAGGCAGCGCTGTGCTGCAGGGCTCAAGGACTTTTGAGGGTCTCAGCCTCCCTGTTTCAGCTTCAGCTTGACTTTATTCTCTTTCCCATCAGCTGCTTGAATCCTCAGCAGTGACCTGCAGGCGC